ATCAACACACGGTTTAGGGAGCGGGCTCATATTGCCTTGCTCATCGCGATCAAATTGCATAAATACTAAGTTCCAAACCTCGATATATCGATCGCCATCTTCATCTAATGACCCTGGTGGCCCACCAGCAACACCTTCCCGTTGTCGATGTATCCCGGGAATGGACAAAACACTGCTAGGGAGACGAACATCGGAGAGGCAAGAGAAGAAAACCTGGCATCCATCCCCTCACTCTGAACCGAGAATCGACAACGGAAGGGTGGCACGCGAACGACTCACCTTCCTCGCAGATCGGGGATAACCCGGTCCAGTTCCCGTAGAGGCATTCGGTGACGTTGTCTCCGACGAGGCGAAACCCATCGTTGCACTTGTAGAGCGCCTTTCGACCGTGATCCGTCTTCGGCGATATGACGAACCCATTCTTCGGAATCAGAGGCGGCGCCTTGCATCGAGCTGCGGACAGATGTCAAAACAATGACGAAAAGCCTCACGAGTCGACAGTCAGAAACCCCCCGAAGGAACTGTCACGACCGACCTGGGACGCAAACGGGCGCTATAGTCCACGTCCCGTTCTTGCACACGACGGGACTGTGACTGTGAGGGAACTCGTAGTTGGGTTGGCACTCCACGGTGACATTCTCGTCGTGCTGCACTTTGCTCCCACGGGCGAAGTCCTGGATGCGACCGTGTTCCACTTCAGGGATGATGCAATCCGCTGCCGGTGAAGAAAGACAGCGTGACTTTACGATCCCTCATCGATTGAGTGCGTTGCCCTGGAGAATTTAGACGGATTATGCTGGGCAAACGAAAACGACAGTAGAAAAAAAAACGTTTGAAAATGTGTGCAATGAGAAAAGGTATGGAGAAAGACCCGAATATATTGCGATGTCACTCTATTTTGCTCTGTTTTGTCACAATGAAAGGATGTGTTGAAATGACGTGTTACATGACCTTGATTAACCAATTAACCTAAGACGGGGTTTTTAAAAAAATTAAGACGAAAACATTTCCCGTAAGTATTCTTCGCTAGTGGGACTAACAAATACCTACTGATTGTTGAAATCATCCTTCGAATCCCTTCCTTCTTCCTAAGCAACCTAAATTTCATTCGAAGGGCTCATCTCCATCATACAACAATACGATTGGTGATATTGAGTTAATAGAGACCGAGTCTTGGTAGTCAACCCTTCGCACTCAGATTTAAATGGCATGGTCTGCCCCAGCAGCTCAACTTTACTTTCCGGCCATTTCAACCGTTTTAAGTTTGTAATACTCTAAGTAATTTTCTGCGTACAGAATGAAATTTTATGTATATGATGCTCTGTAAGCGTCCTGCGAAGATTGTTAAATGTTGATTGAGGTCCGACATACGAGTGGAACTTAATTTTTTTTTTAATGTCGGTCGAGGTCTGACCGATGAGTGCCAAGGGTTAATACAAGCAGCAATATACGATTTACATTCGATTGTGTTTCTACGGGAACGTTATTTCAACCGCATCCTCATACGCACAAACCGCTGCATTTCCAGAGAGACGAGAGAATGAAAATGCCTCTCCGGGATCAATCGTCTTCCCCATGCAGGAGAGGGGGGGGGGGGGGGGGGGGAA